CTCCTGCACCTGAAATATCAGCAGAACCGTGTGGTTTGAACCCAATCTGGTTCACACTGAACAAACGACGGTGAGCTTGTGCCGTGTGTACCACTGAGGTCCATGCCCCTAGCCTTGTCAGTGTAAGTCTCCAACGTTGTTGAAGAAAACAACTGCAACGAGGAAAACACAATACGATGCATCACGTATCGTTGGAATCACGCTCGTTGTTTGTACCCAAACAGAGACATTCGAGGCAACGTGGTAATCCATGTTGGCTCAGTCTGAGTTGTGGTAAGCTTCGAAATGGAACGCGGTGACCTGAGCTGAGAGGGTTGGCTGAAGCATCAGCCTCGCGGTGTACAAACCTCGCTGCATGACAGAGTTGAATGCGTGCTTCCTGCGGTATCTGCACCTCGCAGGGCTGACAAGACCAGCACAGATGCACTGCTCTTGGTGACATCGTCATAGCATTTATTGTACCACGCAGAAATGTGGCCGAATCCAGGACATAGCACACTACTGATTCACACGCATGTGTGTATGAACAAATCTCTCTCTCTCTCTCTCTCTCTCTATATATATATATATATACATACATACATATACAGATATCATCAGATATGCACCGTTTGTTAAATGTACTAGGTGACATAGAAGGCTGATGCTAACTGTGGGAACAAGTCTCGGTGGGAGGCACATTATATTCACAGTATTTTTGGAACGTTAGAAGGAATATGACTCGCTCTGATGGTTTACTGTACAGAATATTGTGGGTGATTGTTGGTCCTAATTGCTTTGTCAAACAAGTGATTTTAAAAATAGAATGAAAGAAAATCATGTGTGTGTATTTTACTCAATATATATATATATATATATATATATTTTAATAACAGCATTTTATTATGAGTCATTATAATATTCTTTGAAAATTATGTCTTTAATTCATAAAAAAACTTCAACAAAAATCAAAACTTTATTCTGAATAAAATCAATAAATACACATTGATGCACTTAGAAAATAAAATGTTATGCAGTTTGTAAGACTATAAAAGTGATGCAATGATTGATTGATATCTTTATATTTATGTGTATGTAAGAGATACTTTGTCACAGTAATTAGGTTACAAATGATATAATACTGAAAACATATATTTATTGACTCGATTATTTTTGCTCTTGCTATTTTAAGATTTCCCCATTATTATTTATAGACAAGTTTTGATATAATCAATGTAATAGTTACAGAATTTAATTTTCAAAAGAAGAAAAAGAAAAACTATTGTGGTATTTGATATTGAGTCAAATAATATTTTTGGACAAAGACTATTTGTAATTTAAATTTCTAATCTCACAAGGATTAATACAATATGCATGGATAAATATTACATACTAAATTAAACTAGGATATCAAGGTGCTAAAATATTTTGAATATTGATTGCAAATGAGTGACAAATTTGCCACAAATATGGTTGTTAACATGGAGGAAATAGTTAACATAAGAATTTTATTAGCTAAACATGTATATTATATATTATAGAAATCTGAAAATAACAAAAATATAAATCCAAAAAAAAAATTCTAAAAACTCAGACACCAATTTTTTTTTTGGAATAACCGAAAATCACTATATTGGTATAAATAAATTTATAAAAATTAAAATAACTAACTAAATCGTATGTTTTAAATGATAAAAACATATTCTTTAATATCCTTTTTTAAAACCAAGAGAAAATTTGTGAGAAAATCAATATTAAAAAGAACTCAAATATATATATATATATATATATATATATATATATGATACTATCAAATCAAAAACATTAAGCAATAATACCATTGTTTCTAGAATTTTTAATTAATTATCAATGCATCTACAAAAATAAATTAAAAAAATAAATACAAATAAAAATTTGAGAACAAGTTTAGACTTTTTATGTTATTAAAACTATATTTTTAAAAATATTATGTAAATTCTAAAATATTATCTATTAAAATTTTTAAAATATTTTTAAAAATGAGATTTTATATATTTCAAGTTTTATAAATATCAATAAATTACATTAATTTTACCTTTAATTAAAACATATTGTTAAATTTTTAAAACAAATCTAAAAATGATAAAATTTATCTTATTATTCTAGTTGGCACTTTAAAAGACAACCTCTTATATATATATATATATATATATATATGCAAACTTGTTCAGAACCAAATTAAATTATGCAATTACAATCAATCAGAAAATTATTGGATTTTTTAATTCTTAGAGTAAAAAATCAATTAAACATCTATAAGCACAATTTTTTGAGTTTTTTCTACAAAAATCCAAATTTATAGGCAACAAAATATAAACTTTTATGATCAATTGAAAAGCCATAGAAAATTTTAAGCTGTTTTTACTAAATATAGATACTATAAGTTATGAATAGTTGTTCTATAAACAAAAATAAATAAAAGTTCTCATCATATTGATAACATTGATAAAAAAAACTCAAAGTTAATTTTCGAATAAAACTTAATGCAAATATGTTTTTCTACTTCAATGAAACTAATACCCACTCTAAAGTAATTATGATTATTGTATAGGTTATGTGAATTTAGATTACACAAATAAAGTGGTAGTTGAATTTAATTGAAAGAAATATTATAAAGAAAAGTAGGTTATCTTTAAAATCAATGTCATGGAATAAACATATATCATAGATATTTTATTATGTTAATCTGGGACTCTACGTTTTATTTTAAGATATATGTGTAAATTTTAAAAATATTAGTGAATTTTAACTACTGAATGTTAGCATTCAATCAAAATTTTGCAAACACTTTTAAACCAAAGAAGATAAATGATGAATAATTAATAGACATAAGTGGCACACATATATATATATATATATATATATATATATTATTGCCTACTTTTATTTAAATAATTTTACTACAATAAAAGCAATATATATATATATATATATATATATATATATATATATATATATATATATATATTCACGTGTATTTTAGCTATATAAATAACATAGAGGATTCTTTAGAACAAATGATTCTATGTATTTGTGTAAAATAATAATTAAAAAACATAAATAAATACTTACATGAATTACAAAATAATAGCACTATGCAAAACATTGTATCATCTAAAAACATATTTATGAATACTTACTTTTTTTATTTTTTAATATATTTATCAATTATTGTATGATTTTTATTTAATAAAAATGCAATTAAGTAATTACCAATTTTTCTTACACTACATTTTGAAACACTAATACTTTATATTTTTTATATTAATTTTTATTTTTAATCGATTAAATATCATTCCAACAATCATCATAGGCATATTTGATAGATATAAATGTAATATATAATTTGTAAAACTTATAAAAATATTATATTATATTTATATAATATTTTTTATAAAATTTATTTTTCATAGTAGATGTTAATTATAATATAAAAATTTATTACTTTGATTTCTAAGAAGCTTTTATGATTAAAATTGTAAGATTTATTAAAAATTATTCCATGGAATGTGGAAGTTAAAAATTATTTGTTTTCATAGAGAGAGAATGCTTCTTAAAATATTTTATGTTAAATTCCAATTACAAAATACCTAACAATATTTCAAAAAACTTATGATTAAATTTTTTTCTGTTAGAATTTATTATTATTATTATTATTTTGTTTATTTTTATTTTTATTTTTATTTTACTTGAAAAAAATTTATTAACACTAATTGTAAAAAGAATTATATTACTTAAAATACATCATTAAAATTGGTCTACATATTATATCAATTTTTTTAAAAAATATATATTATTTAACCACAAATTACTCTTAAGTTAATGTGTTGTAATACTAATTACTTATATTACTTTCAAAACATTTTTTATGTTTATTAAAGTTCATGTAAAATATGTTTTTATTGTATATTTGTTTTGCAGGAATCATGAAACTGAATAGGCTTATGCTTGGAAAAATTCTAGTGCATCTCTAATATGCCTCAGTGAATGAAATTTGTGATGTGAGAAGCTCATATATTTTCCTATTTAAAAAAATGATAGAAGATTCTCTCTCTTCCTATATATATATATATATATATATATAAAGATGGATAGATAGATATATTAAAGTATATATGCACCTATTCACATAATCACTAATAATAAAAAAAAGAAAAATGACTACATAATCTATGTTTAATTCTATGTATTATTTCAATGTTTTTTTTAGTATTGTCACATTTATACATTGTTCTTTTTACCAAAAATACATATTCTAAAATATGCTTATAATATTTATAGCTTTTTATTAATAAGGTTTAAATATATGTATATGTACATAGATAAATTTCATAATAATTGCAATTCTTAAAACTCATATCGATTTATATTATCAGTTATATTACTAACTTTATTAATTAAAATAACTAGAAAGAAAACATAAATTCCATTGCATACAATGTTCTATATACTATAAAAGTTGTATATACCAATGTATTAACAATCCTTTTTTATTTTTTAAAGTTTCCATTATATTCTAACCATTTTACAAGAAATGAGGCAGTTCACAAGGATTTCTACAACTAAAATCTTAGCCATTTAAACCATATTCTTGAAATGACAGAAATAAGAGAAAAATAAAAATAAAAATAGTAAAGAACTATATGCACACTGATAAACAAACAAATAAATGTGAAACAAAACGTAAGACCATCAATCATCAAATAATGAAGAGCTTAGAATGGATTTGCAAAAAGCATATTAAAGGGTTATTATCCGTGGTGCATTAAAGGGGGGATGTTCGTTTCAAAATGGATGCTGGGAGATGATAAAAAGGTGGAATCGTGGAAAAGGGAGAGAGAGAGAGAGATCTACTCAGCATGTGCTGACTCAGCCCGACCCGGCCCGGCCCGGCCTGGTCCAATCCGGCGCGTTCCGGGCCTGTCGGCGTGGTTTGTCTCTCGAGTAACAGAGCGACGACGCGGCCTTGGTTCCTCCGACTACAGCCCCCGCGAGCTTCCCCCTCATCTCATTCATTCTCCCTTAACCGGCGCAGCATTCCTCCTCCTTCATGTTCATGGTGTTCGTGGGATTCGTTTGTGACCTTGGGTTTCGTTAGATAGGTCGCACGCGGTAATTGCTTTTTTTGTGGGTGTCGCTGGCACGGAGTTAGAGAGCGAAGACGGAGTGGGATGGAGTTTGCCGGCGGGGCGGCAGCGACAAGCCTCCAGAGCGCAAGCAATGGCATCGTGCATTGTGTAGGGCACGTGGGTTTGGGTGTGAATGGCTGCAGAAGGAGAGGAGCTTCTGCGAGAGGAGGGGGGAAATCTGTGGTGGTGTGTGCGAAAATCGGGAAGGGGAAGAAGGGTACTGAGCATGAGTATCCATGGCCCGAGAAATTGCCCCAGGGGGAGATTACTACAGGTGCTCTGAAGTATCTCAATCGCTTCAAGCCACTTGCCAACAAGCCGAAGCCTGTCACACTTCCCTTCGAAAGACCTATTGTTGACCTTGAGAACAAGATTGATGAAGTAAGAAGCGTTGTTTTTTTTTTTTTTTTTTTTTTTTGTTTTTTGGTTCCCGCCCGACCTACCTCTGTTTCGCCTCATCCGTTGTAGAGCTACTCCGCCTTCGTTTCATAGGGGTCATTTGATGCGTTTGTAGCTGAAATGTCAGGTCGTGAATGGACCTGCATGCTGCTGTTCATCGTTCTGTTTGGTGTAATCGTTTTCCAGCATTGCGGAGGTCTGGGTTTTTGCTCAATGCCCAAGACGATGAAGACTTGATTGTTGTTTCGCTTCCTGACTCTCTCTCTCTCCATCGTTTCCTTCGACACTCTAAGAAGTAAACTTCTCGTGCAATGAAACAACAGGTTCGGGAGCTCGCCAATAAAACTGGAATGGATTTTAGCGAACAAATTGCCGAGCTTGAAGAGAGATATGATCAGGTTGGTGATCACCCTGTTATCTCTAACTTTTATTTCGAATTCGGTTAACTTTTTATAAATTGTTTTAGTCACACATGAGAACCGAAAGGGGTTGCCGGTAGACGACAACGTTGAATCGCAAGTTCGATTGTGTGGAAAGTACATCTGCTCGATCAATTTGGACTCCTCGATATTAAATTGGGCATGTTTTTGGCATTTGGAATTTCACCTCTCTCTTTTTACTCAAAGAAGTTTTTTACACTTAATTTAGATGTACACACTCTGGATACACACTTTCTCGGAGAAGTTACCGTAGTTTGTGTTCATTGGGAGCTACCTTACTGTTGCGGGGAATAATGCATTGAGTTGCTAGCAATTACATCGGTGTCCTTAAATTCAAGTCGTCACAGGACTTTCGGGATGTTAAGTCTCGTCCTAGTCGAATAGAATTTGAGCTTAGATCACCATTAGCCATCACCTTTCGCTAATCTGTTCACGTCATTTTTCAGATACATTCCCACGCTTTTTAGGGGACCTAATTATTAGCACTCGTTACGTACAGCGAATGTTCGCTTAGTCTTTCTTATGTAAGGGGTATTTGGACGAAACCTGGTGTTCTGTTCCTTTTAGTCTTTGATATCCTGTGTAACTTTTGTTGTGCTGAGCAGGTGCGTAGGGAACTATATTCGGCACTCACACCAATGCAGCGCCTTAGTGTGGCTCGTCATCCTAATCGACCAACAATGTTAGACCACGTTATGAATATGACCGATAAGGTAATTCATCTAGCTAAAGAGTTTTAATTTGGACAACGCATGCAGTGTATTTCAATGGTTTTATGCTGTGCTCAGTACCACTCAGATGATATGACTTCAACTAAAATTTTAGATCCTGAATTGTAGTGGGTTGAGCTTCATGGCGATCGAGCTGGATTTGATGACCCTGCACTGGTCTGTGGTATCGGGTCAATGGATGAAATGAGCTTCATGTTCATTGGTCATCAGAAGGGCCGAAATACAAAGGAGAATATCTACCGTAACTTCGCAATGCCAATGCCAAATGGGTATGTTAACGTTCGTTTCTATGTAACTTCGCAATGCCAATGCCAATGGCAAATGTTTTGTGATCGAGCACGTGCTTTACAGTGTTCGAGATGTAGAAGTTGTCTTTAGAAAGCTCCTTTACTAGCAAAGCTCAAAGCCGTCAACAACCGAAACATCCAGGGTGTTGCAGTTATGTGCAGCAATATTATAATTTTCTTGCTTACTTCAACAATTTTGGGAGGATATTATTTCCCTTGTCCATAGTGCTAACTTATTTAGACTCCTGGCTACACGAACCCGGAAGTGTTGTATCCTACATATTTACTCTCTGTTGTGCCCATTTAATCCTTTGCAGATATAGGAAAGCTTTGCGTTTTATGAGACATGCAGAGAAATTCGGTTTTCCTATTCTCACATTTATTGATACCCCCGGAGCATATGCTGGCATCAAAGCTGAAGAACTTGGTCAAGTATGTTCGTCGTTTTCCCACTGAGAGCGAACACCTCGACAATGTTCACTTCGTATTCTTAGTGTGGTTCTTGCTCGTGAATGGATTTGGTTGTGCATGACGACGCTTGGTTGGCATTGCTTTACACATTAGGTGGCGGTTAAAATTGGTGTTTGATGACTTAGAAATTTGCATCACAATTCGTCAAGGTGCTAAATGTGAATAGTTTCTCTGATTGGGACTGTGCAGGGAGAAGCCATTGCTTTTAATTTGAGAGAAATGTTTGGTATTCGAGTGCCCATCATCGCAACAGTAATTGGAGAGGGTGGGTCTGGAGGCGCACTTGCAATCGGATGTGGTAACAAGATGATAATGCTTGAGAATGCTGTATATTATGTAGCAAGGTGAATACTGGTCACATCACCTATCAAATGCTATTTTTCTTAAGCTATTTGCATGTGGGAAGATTTATTATTCTCATTTTACTGATGGCTTGCACATCTTGGTGTGCGATTGCTATCAACGTCAAGTATTCATATGAACTATTAACGACTTTTAGGGCGAGTCAATGCGATGAATAATCCGGATCCTCATTTCTGAAAGTGATGTCTGTTTGATGCAGCCCAGAAGCATGTGCGGCCATTCTCTGGAAGACAGCCGCAGCTGCCCCCAAGGTAGTAAATAACTAAATCGATATTTTCTTGCCAATTCAAACCTCTCGTGCCCAATTTTTATAAATGATTAATTGGTCCAGACACTTCGCTTTCCACACGGGTCTGACCTTTTTATTCTTTTCAGGCTGCAGAAGCATTGCGTATTACTGCCAAGGAGTTGGCAGATTTAAGTATCGTGGACGAAGTTGTTCTGGTACGTTAAGTCAATTATGTATTCCTCTGAAGGGAAAGTACTATACAGTTAATTCTAAACACCATTCGGAATTTTACCACAGTAATGGATATCCAGCATGGTTTGAGGTTTGATCACCATCACCCTGATGTCGATGTGCTCAGGAACCAGTAGGTGGTGCACACTCTGATCCTATTCAGACATCCAAGAACCTGAAGGAGGTGATCTTGAGGCAAATGAAGGTTAGTAAGTGAATGTTTTCAGTTCATATAGGTTTCCGTGTTCTTGCCATTGATGGCTCTTTTCCTACCAAGAGAGTTGCTATTAAACGAGCATTAAGAGTTATTTCCATTCTATGCTTAAGCCTTGTGACCTCCACCATGTTTCACAGTGTTAGGATTTTTGTGATTCGAATTAATGACTTGGTCTACGAGTATTTATGATCCAAACCGCAATTGTAGGACTTAGTCCACAGAGTGTACATGCTGCTTAGAATTTGTACTCTTAGTCTTGAAACGGAAGAGCATTTTGAACCGCGAACATCCACACTTCTTTTCACAATCGTTTCTGTGCACACTCGATAGGAATTGATGAAGATGGATCCAGAGGCACTGATTCAGCAAAGAGCAGCAAAGTTCCGGAACATAGGCGAAGTTGATGAAAGTGGTGACGTGGATCCTCATATCAAACGAAACATGAAGAAGCGGGACGCACCATTTAAAGATGATGAATCCAGGATGCTACCTTCTGGTAGTGAAAACGCGCAGAAGCCAGTGAGGGCAAACAGGGAGTAAGCAAACTCATATATATTCTGGGTGCATCCATATATTTTACACGTGATACCTGCACCCTTTGACAGACTCATGTGTTCCCAAATCTCTTCCTCTCATCTCGGAGGATTGTACTGTAGTAGTCTTCCCTAGATTTGAATATTTGGCAAGCTTATTCGATATTTGAATAGCATCAGTGAGTGATCGGTGAGCTATATCTGCTATCTTGCCCGTCTCACCTTTGGAGCATAGGATATTGCTGGGAGGCTCTGTTGTATGGTTCAGTGGGCTGAATGCTTTACCTTGTGCACGATCATGCCGACAGTCCGCAGTGAATTCAAGAATTCGATCCCAGCCAGTCTAGCATTGTAAAATGTCCTTGCACGTACTAGTGTATTCACTTGCATTTTTGGAAGATAACTTGGTGTCTAAAAATCAGTACCTAGTGTGAGCAACATACAGGATGTCAAGCCAATAATGTGTCTAGGTCTAGTTATTCTGCACGATACTCGTAATTTGGAAAACTATGTTTTTTTGGTACTCAATAGGGAATTTAGTCTTAGTTTGTTCCTTGTTATCTGGTTTATAACATGATTAGTACAATTTGAGTCTTAGTTTTCTTTAGTTCTAGCATTGTTTTTGTATTGAAAGAGGATCTTGTATAAGTGATTTTGTCTAACATTAAAAACATTTCTTGTATAACGACTTAAAAGTCATTTTTTATAGAGAGTTTTCTCTTCAAAAACCTGTTCCACATTGTATAGTCAAGTACGAGTTACAACCTAAAGACCAATCAAAACAAATATATCATTTGTGCCATGTGCATTGCCATACGATTTGCATGGTTGATACCAACTAACACTAGTTATATATGTTCTATACTAAGCAAATTGTGGTGAAAACTTTACTACCATAATATATCCAAGTGGCTTGTGACAACAAGTCACAACCATTTTATATATCATGTGGCGACAACAAGTTACAACCACTTTATATATCATGTGGCTTGAGTAGCATGTCTTAGCAATATACCCTCATATTATGTAGTTGGAATATAATCCACATTTAAAATATCAATATGTAATGACTAAATGTGTAAAGTATACCATTATTACAATGATAGATAAACAAAGAAGATGCATTGAAAGGAAATAAATATCAAAGACAATCATACAAAAAAGTTAATAAGTAGGCCAAAAATACTTCCTTTATTTTCTTCTTTTGCATGTATTAAAGTCTCTTCTAATGACAAATCTCTAAATACCTCTTTTATAAGATATAAAAGATAATCCAAGTAAAACTATAACATGTATTTTAAACATCTACTATTTTTGACACACTTTAGACATGACTAATCACCAATTAGAATTTCTTCTACTAATGGATTTAAATAATCTAAATTCTACCTTATCAAACAAACATAGTATAAAATTATTATAGCAATACCTTGAGCAATTCCACATGATATATATTTTAATCTAATTAAAATATATATCACGGACATACTCATATAAGCCAGTATTTACATATATAAATAGGTAGAAGTAAGTAAAAGTAAATAAAAATAAGTTAATTTTATAGTATTTGGTATAGAAGCTTACTAGAAGCTTCATAGACACTGCTTTGACTTTATAGGTATCTTTAATTGACTTTTTGGATTAGAAACGTGATAAACAAGTTGGCCATGTGCCACACATGTTGTTAGCTTGAACACCAAGCTAACTATGTGGCCCACACGTAGAAAAACTTGCCTTATAAGTCAAAGCATGTGTCTTACAAAGTCAACACATATTGGAGGTCTTATAGAACGTTACCATGTAGCCTCTAGTTAGATAGTATATATAGAGATAAGAGTGAAGCCTTCTTCACTCTTGTCAATTCCATTCTTGCTTCCAGTCTAGTTTCAAGAGTCTTTAGTTTTCTTGACTTTTGGCAATAGCCATTCTAGTTTCTTTCTTAATGTATATATCAAGTTATTTCTATTTTATCATCTTTTTTTGAGAGAAGTCTCACTTGTTATTTATCTTTATCATGTTCTTGTCCTTAACAGATTTACAAGAGTACACTTATAATATCAGAGTTTTGTCTAATCTTGATTAAGAGTGGATTACCCCTTTTTCTTGATAAGACATAAGCATATTAGAAATTGCGGATTACCCTCTTCTAAACTGATATTCTCCTTAGTATTTTCTTTGTTCTCAAGTCCTCTCTTCTATTTGTCTTGAGCAATATTAGACATCTTCTCTTTCCCAAGTGTTATCATGACAGAACTTGTTGAAATGAAGAGTGCAATGGCACAAATGCAAGAGCAATTGAGGGAGTTAATGCTTGCGATGCATCAACTTAATTTACCACCAGAAGGAGCAACAAGAGTGGCAGGAAGCGAAGATATAGAAATGATTGGAGCTGCTTCAACATCTGCACCAAATCATGTCCCTTTTCCTATGGTGGAACACCTTTCCAATGTTAGAGAACCAAGAATTGCCCTACCCGAGAAGTTTGATGGCACTAAATCAAAGTTTAGAGGATTTATCAATCAAGTACAACTTGTGATTGAACTTCAACCCCAAAGCTATCCAACTCCAGGATCGCAAGTTAGATTCATTGCTACGCTTCTTTCAAGTTCAGCATTATCATGGTTTTCATCTTTTTTTGAATGACGAGATCCAATATTGGATAATCTAGAGGCTTTTTTGGCGGAGTTTCGATCCATGTATGGAGAACATGATGCAATTCATGTTGCAACCAATAAGATCCGTATTTTACGACAAGGCAATCGATCAATAATGTTGTATGCTTCACAATTTTGACAACTTGTAACTGATATCAAGTGGAATAATGGTGCACTTATTAGTCAATTTCTCTACGGATTACAATATGAGGTAAAAAAATTAATGCTCAACTTACCTGATCCTCAAACATTGAGTCAAACAATTGACTTTGCTGTGAAGTGTGACAGCCGTCTTTTTGAATTCCGATCTGAGAACCGTACAAGTAGACCTCAACGTAACTATAATTCAATAGCAACACCAACATCTCTTCAACACATACATTCGGAAGTAGAGGATAAAAAAATTGATGCAGTATGTTTCAAACTTCTTACTGAGCAAGAAAAGACTCGTCGTTGTCAAGAAGGATTGTACTTATATTGTAGAGAACCTAAGTACACTGCTCAACATTGCCCAAAGAAATGACGCAACCATAAAATGAGGAGTATGGCGATCAAAAGAGATAGCATATCGGAAAACAAATTTATCTAGCTTCAATAGGGATCGTGCGGCTAGAATCTTGTACAACGTCTAGTAAAGGTCCTATCCTCTCCTTAGAACCCTCTCCATGTTTTACAATAAATGTTATTCTAGGACCTAAACATCTCAAAGCCTTTGCCTTACTATATTCAGGAGCCTCAACATGTTTCTTAGATAAAAAATTTGCTAAAAGACATAGCATATTTTTAGTAAAAAAAACTAAATCTGTTCATGTAGAAGTCATAGATAGTCATCTATCATCTTCAGAAGATGTTACTCATGAAATCCTTCTTATAGAAATAGCAACTAATGCTTATAGTAGCTTTATAATATTTAATATCATTAGATCTTCTTTTAATCCAGTCATTTTAGGTTTATCATGGCTAGAAAAATATAACCCTAAAATAGATTGGACTTCTCGTAGTCTTGACTTTTTGGAAAGTATAACTAAGAGTATAGTTAATCAAGTAGAAAGTCATAAGTCTAGTATAATTAAACCTATATTTGTAGGTGCAAGTGCTTTCTTGTATGTTGCAAAAGAAGGATCACCTTGTGTCATTTATGCCACACCTATTTTTAGTGGTGGAAAGACTTCAAGAGGCATTCTAAGCCAAATATCAAGATTTTAAAGATGTATTTGAGAAAAAAAATGCGGATGCTCTTCTAGAACATCGTTCCTATGACTGCTCAATTGACCTTCGAGAAGGAGCACAACCGCCATTTGGACGAATCTACAATTTATCTCAAAATAAATTGGCTGAACTCAAGGAGTATATTGAAGAGAATTTGGCCAAGAACTTCATACGCCATTCCAAATCTCCAGCAGGAGTTCCAATTTTATTCGTGAAGAAAAAAGATGGATCATTGCGGATGTGTGTTGATTATCGAGGACTCAAAAAAATCACTATAAAAAATAGGTACCCGCTACCTTTGATATCAAGACTTCTTGATCAGTTGAATCAAGCTAAGATCTATACAAAAATAGATCTATGGGGAACATACAATTCAGTACGTATCAAAAAAGGAGATGAATAGAAGACTGCGTTTCGAACAAGGTATGGATATTTTGAATACAACGTCATACCTTTTGGACTTACAAATGTACCAACAACATTCCAACACCTAATGAATGATGTCTTTTAGAAGTTTTTAGATGATTTTATTGTCTGTTACCTAGACGGCATCTTAATCTATTTTTAAAATACAGAAGAATATGATCTTTATATTTGCCAAGTATTACAAAAACTAAGAGATATAGGACTCTATGCCAAGATAGAAAAGTGTATATTTCATACTATTCAAGTCGACTTCTTAGGATATATCATTTCAAATGATGGACTTATGATGGATCTTAAGAAAATTCAAACTATTATAGATTGGAAGATCTCAAAAATAGTAAGAGATGTCCAATGCTTTTTGGGATTTACCAACTACTATCGGATCTTCATCAGACTTCTCTCAAGTTACAGCTCCACTTACACGTTTGACCTGCAAGGACAAACTTCAATGGAATGAAGAAGCAGAAGTAGCATTTGAAGCTTTGAAGACAGTGTTTGTTTCTGCACCAATCTTGTATCGCATTGATTTTTTTAAGCCATTTTTTATGGAAATAGATGCATTAGACTTTGCTTTGGGTGTTGTATTGTTACAAATGAGAACAGATGATAAACTTCATCCAATAGCTTTTCATTCCAAAAAATTTTTAGCAGCCAAGATCAACTACGAGATCCACGATAAAAAACTTCTTTCAATCATGGATTCGTTTCAAGAATGGTGCCTTTATGTAGAAGGTGCTTCCAGCCCAGTCATAGTGTATATGGATCACAAGAACCTTGAATATTTTATGTCAGTACGTGTTTTGAATCATCGCCAAGGCCGTTGAAGTATGTCTTTGTCAAGATTCAAATTCAAGATCACTTATCGACCAAAAAAACAACAAGGTTTGTCAGATGCACTCTCTAGATGATCTTATCTTGAAGCAAAAGAAAGAGATGCTGCTTTTGATCAACAATGAACAATTCTCTTGAAGCCAGAGCATCTTCATCTTCGAGCAATGAAATCAATACTAACTATTGATTCAACTTTTATTAAGCAAGTTCAGTCAAGTGTGTCTTCTGATCTTCTTATTTGTGATATTAAAGAAAATCCTTCAAAGTCTCATGATACTTCCAAGTTTGAATTCAAGAAGAATCTACTATATTTTGAGGGACGCCTATATGCTCCTAAAGGTGAAGCTCGATTACATGTCTTTCAAGCTCATCATGACTTTTCAACAGTAGGACATTTTGGATACAATAAAACTTTGGAACTAATATCCAGGGACTTTTGGTGGCCACAAATGTGGAAAGCAGTCAAAGATTTTGTACAATCTTGTGA